AGATGAGTTGACGGTGATTTAAGAGATGCAATTGAGCGGAGGCATTAGACGGATATAAAACAGAAAGGATGAACGGAAAATTAAGTTCCTTTTTAAAATAGTACACACCTCAAAGCATATTATACAACCTTATTAAGCTAGATAATTACACCAACATTTTTTCCATCCCTAAAATGCCCTAACTATCATTGACAATTATAAGCTTTTAAGATTGTCCGTCCCTGTGGAGACGATACTCGTACTTACACCACTATATTACAATCTTTTTTTAAGTGCAAGAAAACACACATCAGTTTTTGGCGCCGTTGCCGGGGACGGTGTCGGTTTTAAGGGTTAATTAATTTCAGCGAGATTTTTTTTTAGTTAGTTTTTTTTAGTTCCTCGTAGGATTTTTTCTGTGCTAACCTTTCAGGTACTTGTTCTTAAGAGGATGAGATGAACTCATTCAGCTCGATTTACGGGGGAACACCTTACCCTCAAACCTCCACGGAATATTCACCATTTGCACCATGTCCTCCTTACAGTTTTCCTCAACTTTACACACCTCATCATTATTATTCTCCTACACCACAAAATATTCAGCCTTCTTATCCATACACTCCAACCACGCAACCTTTTCATTCTGATTCTTATTATCCTTCATCACAATACCCTTGGGTAAGCGTAAGACCAGACTCCATTCTTGATTTATTCTTCAAACTAAAATGCCTGAGGAAATATCTGAATGTTTTAAGGATAACATTTGTTCCTTCTGTGGAGGAGGTCACCATTTATGTCTTTGCCCCATCAAACCTCTATATGACCATCCTTTCCGGGAAACTGCATACCCTTCTTCATCCTCCCCACAATTTACGAATACAAATGTTTCAGTCACTCCTACGTCCTTGCCAAGTAATGAGCCACAGAATCAGTGTAAGAAGACACTTTCAGAAACTTTGGCTGAGTACCGAGAGTATATGAGGGAGAGCTCTTTAGCCATGGAGCAGAGCTCGTTAGCCATGGAGCAAAGCTATTCAAACATCATGAAGCATATAATAAATACCATAATGAGCCATCTGGCAGAAGCCCAACTTGATGAGACCAATAAGGATTCATGTGAGTGAGCCAGACTGTGAAGGTGGGAATATGATGAATGAACACTTCCTGATGATGTTGAAGACCCTCCTATGTTTGGAGATGAAGAAGAAGATAATAGTGCCAAGTTGTTTTTCCAAGAATACGGGAAAAAGTTTGAAACGGTACAAGTTGTAACTGATGAAGTCACAAATCATTGTGATTTTCATACAGAAACCCCCCAGCCGTTTGATTTATCATTAGTCTCAACATCTGAGGAGGGCAAGGAGAAAATCAATCATGATGATGGTGCTACTGAGGTAGGTTTGGGTATTGAAGATGAGTTGGGAAAAGATGATCACATGCTCCAAGAGAGTGGGGGCGAGTTAGATGATGTCCGTAATGAAGAAGTCCCGCTCCACAAACAAGATTACCCTTCTTGTACACCTGCACCGATCCACTTTTACGTGGTTTCAGATGTGGATTTCTTTGATTCACTACTTGATGATATTCCTTTTTGTACGGAGAGTGACAACATCATCCAAGAAGACCCTGATGAGAACGGTGTTAACGAGAGTTGGGATGCATTCTTGGAGAGTGATAGCGAGTAGAGAGGAGGTGCTCATAATTTTCATGGTACATTCGAGCGAGGAAAGGAGGCGTTTGTGATACATTTTGAACATGAGGATGAGAGGTTCATACTTCACTTCTGTGCTAATAAGGGTTATGAAAATCATGCGCTTCCTACGTGTTTTCAAGAATTTAAGAATCTGCGCCATCTAATGGCATTTGTTGAGAGGAAGCTGGAGATGTTGACTATTAGTGCACCACTGATGTCTGTGCTATTTGAGAGCCTATGAGGTATCGTCGGGCAAACGACGTTAAAAATAGCGCTACTTGGGAGGCAACCCAAGCTTATTTCTGCACTTTTGTTTTTGTTTGTTTTCAGAAAACCCCTAAAAAAACCGGGGTGTTTTCTGTTTTTTGTTTTGTGTGTTTTGTGTGTTTTGTTTTTGCAGCTCAGGGTCTTGCTTTGTGGATGATGTGCCGAGGATCACTTAACTCAGTTTAGTTCTGCACCGACCAGCGCCTTAGGGAAGTTTTTGCGACTCAAATACTCACCTGTTTGTAATAATTAACTTGAGTTAAGTTGAGCACGTGTGACCCTTTCCTCTTTACCCCCTTGTGCATAGTGCATTTTTGGCCATCGAGGGCGATGCCAAAGTTTAAGTGTGGGGGAGTGAATTGGGCATTCAGGCAGTAGTTGTTACATGTGATTATTAGAGTTAGCATGCGTAGGTGTTAGTTGTATATTCATAGGAAAAGTCATATCAAAATTTGTGAAATTTTTTCTTTAAACTATGCCTTTGTGACTTGGCTAACGTTTTGACTATGTTTTTAGAACATCTTTGAAGTGTTTAGGCTTAAATTGTTTGCACTATCATCTAGTTGTTGAGAGGATGAAGGCATTAGTCACCCATTAAATTATTCCATTAATCATCCACCCCACCTGAAAAAGTCCTTTAGGAGAAGCCAATTTAAGCCTAACCGTTCTTTGTCACCCTATTAATTGAGCTCCATAACCAAATGGCCTGTGTTTTCTTACCCGTGAATATTTCTAACATAGTCCTGGTGTTTAGGGAACTAGGGGATTAATTCGCTAAATTTAGGGAATTTGTGTAGGAGCCATTTTTGGCATTGTTCCTATGCCCCAAATGGGGTAAGAGCAGTCAACTTTTTATGAATATGATACTTTCGAGGATTGCATTGTAGGCATGGATTCACTTTGAATTAATGAACTTTAATTGCTATTTTTCGTTGGTGAGGCCGAGATTAGAATGTGGTAACGTCTAGTGAGAATCCGAAAGGTGAAAAATTAATATAGCTAGACCTCTTGCCTTGCGAAAAAGAGAATGGGAGCCCCTGTCAAAAAGCGTAAGATGAGACTCAGGTATCTTTCGAAAGAAACGGCGTTCTCGTGCCAACATGACAAGGGAAACTAAACTTAATTAATGAACTTGGAGGCTATTGAAAAATTAGCTTTAGTCCTCCGCGTACTTCAAGTGTACGTCAAAGCACCAATGTGCTGCGACGGTTTAGCTTAGTTGTACACCATGTCTACTCTTTGCATAGGTTTAAATGATTGTTCCTAAATTGTGGCCTACTAAGTTCTTTGATCCTAAGAATAGCCCCGAAATTCATGAATGCATTGAGTCTTTGTTAGAATGTTCCAAACTCTCAAGAAAGGAACTGTTTATCCTTATCATTCACCCTTCACCATCGCCTTCACAAGTCCTTCTGATCGGTAGCTAGTTTAGTAGTGTACGTTGTCACTACTTTGAGGATGTTGTAAATAACTTTGTCAAATATTTTAGCTAGAGTACAAAGATTTAGTTTAGGGAGGAATTTTCTTGGTTTAGTCTGTCTGTTCTATGAGTATCCTTTTAACTACGTGTGCATGCTAATTGTTTTCATTCCGTGTGGTGATTATCGTAAGTCCTGTTGTTTAGTTTGCTTGAGAACAAGCAAAGGCTTAAGTGTGGGGGAATCTGATAAGTCCGTATTTAGACACGCATTTGATGCGTGTTGGGATCGGCTTTTGATGGTTTTCCTAGCTTTAAGGTGTTACAAGTCTCAATTTTAGCTCAAGTTATGTTTACCGGGCGTTGGTTCGAGTTTTGTGTTGTTTGGAGTCAAAATCAGGAATTTAGAGTCCGGCACCGGCGCTTGAGAAGCAATCGGGAAGAGTTGGAGAACATTCGAGAGAGATTTGATGAAGAAACAGCCTTTGGATTGATTAAAGAAGTATCCGGGAACAAATCGTGAAGAAAATGGCAAGAAAACGGTCCAAGAGCATTCCGCGCGCCCCGCGGTGCAGTTCCGCACGCCGCGCGGGCGATTCTGAGAGCAAAAACTTGAGGGGTCTGAACCGCACACCGCGCGGTCCAGAAATAGCCCCTAGAAGTACCCGTGCGGTTGCATAGTGCGGCGCCCGCACACATCGCGGGCGGAGCGAAAATCGGAAGACGGAAAAACGCGCGCGTGACCGCGCGGTGACCCGCACGGCGTGCGGACGACCGCGCGGCCTGGTTTTCGGCCAGATTTTGAGTTTTTCTTTAAATAGACCCCTATTTTGCCTGTTTTTGACTAAGGAGCTTAGAGAGATAAACCCTATTTCGACTTTTGAGAGCTTTTCAAGCCTTGTTCTTCAAGATTAAGGGATTCTTTGTAAGTTCTATCTTTTTAATTAATGACAATTATTTCTATTCATCCCAATTCTGTTGATTATTCAATTATGAATTGCGAGTAGTTTTAATTAGAGATTTGGGATTGATGAAGGGGTTAATCATGATTTATGGCTAGATTCTTGTCGGTTTAATTGCATGAATGTCGTTTAATTTGTGTTTGAACAATTTAACTAATATCTTTTGTAACCTAGAACGGCCGCTAGAATTACAATTGTTTGTAGAATAAGTTAAGAGAGATCTAATTTATTCTAGGACACATTCACACACTTAATCATTCGGTAAGAGATTAGTAACGATTAAGGGGCCGTAAGCTCGCTCGTCTTGGAAATAATTTAGGATCATGTCGCATGAGAGATCAGCCTGGTCCCCTAAATTATTGTACTCTACGCCGCGAGAGCGGTAAGAACTTAGTAATGATTAAGCTAGGCTCAATTAAATTAAATTCATGAAATTAGGCTTGATCTGCCAGAAATCTGATTACCCCGGAATCAATCCCTGTTCCCTTCGTCGTTAATTGAGAAGAAACCAATCTTTTAGTTTATCGTTCATTCGCATTTGTTTAATTTTAATTCACCAATCAATCTCGCACACTCGCATTTATTTATTTTATTTCTTTTTAATCGCTGAATTTAGTTAATCTTTAATTCCCTTTTGTCCGTCCCTATGGAGATGATACTCGTACTTACACCACTATATTACAATCTTTTTTTAAGTGCGAGAAAACACATATCAGACACCTTTTTTTTTGTTTGGCCGAGATGGCGCCCCATGGAGTGCAGCGTCCTGTGGAAACCACTGCATCGTTCTGGCCGATGGGTTCACTGGTGGCCGATGGGGTGCCAGCTGATGGGGTTTTGGCCGATGGGGTGCCAGCTGATGGGGTTTTGGCCGATGAGGTGCCAGCCGATGGTGGAGCAGATGGTGGTCGTTGGTACGTGGTGCGCCAACAAGCCTCCCCTAGCCGATGTGTAACTGGCCGATGGTGTTTTTTGTTGGGCCGAAGAGAAACCACCTGCTGCTGCTCGAGGATGGGGACCCATTTGGCCGAGGTGAACCGTTTGCTGAATTTTGGCTGGTATTTGAGGTCAACTTCCGAGCCAGGAACCTCACGAAGGGCTGCTGGACAAGGGTCGCACCAACTAGACGAAGGGTCCTGTTTGGTTTTTTGGCCGCCATGACATGTATGCGCTTCTTTGGGCCGAAGCGTGGCATTCTGTTGACTTTGGTTATTGTCTTGATTTTGACCGAGGTGTCAATTCTTGACCGAGGGACAGCTTGAGGTTTCTTAGTGCATTATGTGTCATTGGAGCCCCAATGAGGCCGAAGTGTAGTAAGTTGGGACTCAAGTTTATTTGAGTGGCATACTCCTTGGCCGAAGGTGCATGTTGCCCCAACTAAGGCCGAAGTGCTACCACGTCATTTATCTATATGATATATTATTTGTTGGGAGGATCTCACTTGATGTATTCTACCTCTCAATGAAAGCACCAAATGATAGAGTATTTAATTCTAAAGAGAATGCAGAGCTAGAGAGATAAAGTGATATGTATAAATGAATTTCCAACTTCCAACCTTTTACATGCTCCCATAGGGAGTATTTATAGAAGAAAAGCGGGCTGGGCTTCCAGGCTTGGGCCAGGAAGGCCCAGTTACAATAAAAGGCGAATAAATGGTTAATAAATGGTATTTAATATTTTAATCTATTATAATGGGTATACATGAATAAATATAGTGTACAATGATGTAAATGTTATCTACTGAGCGTATGTGGGCCGCTGTCTGGGCCCAATAGTCGTGAGATCCGGGGGTCCGAGTCTTTATACTCTATCAGCTGCCAATAGCGAGTGAGAGTGTTAAAGTATTGAGTGACAGAGATATCACCTTGGTGGAGATCATGTAAGGCTGCCTCGATAGAGAAAAGCTCAGAAGTATTCTCAGAACTTGAATAGGATTCTTTGATAGCATCCCATAATTCTTTTGTCGTAGCATATAATAGAAAGTTTTCCCCTATATCATTATTCATAGAACTTATGAGCCATGATTTAATTATATGATTATCAGACTTCCAAGTGTAGAAGAGAGGATCATCTTTCTCTGGAACTGATCTTTTACCAGTAAGATACTCTTCCTTACCTTTTCCACCAATATACATCATCACTGATTGAGACCATTGGAGATAGTTGTGTCCATTGAATTTGTGGCTGGTAACGAGAGAGAGAGAGAGAGAGAGAGAGAGAGAGAGAGAGAGAGAGAGAGAGAGAGAGAGAGAGAGAGAGAGAGAGAGAGAGATTCATTTATTTGAGGAGTGGCAGAAAGAATTGATGAAGGTGTTTTAGAGGTTGCCTCTGAGATAGAGCTGTTGTTTTTCGTTAGCCATGATAGATGAGAGATGGGCACAAGAAGAGAAGTACAGAAACCCTAGGAAAGCTAGAGCTCTGATACCATGTGAAATTTTGAATATTTGTGATGTTCTCATTATCTCAGAATGGCAGGATATTTATACAACCTATTGGGGAGAGAATCTGAGACATTAACTATACAATCTGCTAATTTAGACAATAGAATATCCTATTTCTAGAATATCCTATGTCATGTTGATAAAATGCAACATATGAACTACTAAAACGCAACGTCAACTTATTTTATAACTATGTACTTCTAATATAAGTTATGTAGATATTATGAGTGTGTAATGCACATCATGTATTCTTAATATGCATATCACGTGACATTAGTATGCAAATCATATAACCTTAATATGCATATCACATAACCTCATTATGTGACAACAACAACATCCAAGCCTTAGTCCCAAAAGATATTGGAATCGGCTAACATGAATCGATACATGATATCACCACCAAAAGGAAAAGAAAGAAAATAAAGATAAAAAGATAAGCTATTATGAAAAAGATAATATAAAATGAGATGAATATACCTAAAAATGATAAAATAAAAAGGATAAAAAAATGTTTATATATAAGGATAAAAGGATTATAAAAATTAAAAAACAAGGAAAAAAACAAGGGGAAAAGATAATACGGGATCACTCCTCAACACGAATACCCTCATCTAACCCAAGAAGAGGCATATCACTTCGGACTCCCCCAACCCACGTCTGTTTGGGCCTTCCTATCCCTCTCTTCCTTGCCTCTTCTCCACACATTTCAACTCGTCTGACAGGTGCATCACTCGGTCTTCTATGCACATGACCGAACCACCGTAGGCGCGACTCTCGCATCTTGTCTTCAATAGGTGCTACTCCCACTCTTTGTGTGATTGTCTCATTCCTCACGTGGTCCTTCCTAGTATGTTCACACATCCAACGCAGCATGCGCATCTCCGTCACACTCATCTTTTGAATGTGGCATTGTTTCACCGCCCAACACTCTACGCCATATAGTAATGCAGGCCTAATTGCTGCCCTATAAAACTTACCCATCAGTTTAGTCGGCATACCTCTATCGCATAGAAATCCTAACACACTCTTCCACTTCATCCACACTGTTCTGATTCTATGGGATACATCTCCATCTAACTCACCGTCCTTCTGAATTATGGAGCCCAAGTAATGGAATATATCGCTGACCGGTATCTCCTTACCATCTAGAGTAATTCCGCTATTACCATTGCTTCTACCTCCACCAAACATGCACTCCATGTACTCTGTCTTGCTCTGACTTAGTCTGAAACCCTTGTCCTCCAAAGTTTCTCGCCATATTTCCAACTTTGTTTTAAGACCTGATTGCGTCTCATCAATCAACACAATATCGTCGGCAAACATCATGCACCACAGTATTTCGTCTTGAATTGACTTCGTAAGTTCATCCATGACTATGACAAATAAGAAAGGGCTAAGAGCCGATCCTTGGTGCACTCCCATAGTAATAGGTAACTCTGCAGTCCTCCCTACACTAGTACGAACACTTGTAGTACAATCCTCATACATATTCATGATGATGTTGATATACTTGCTTGATATGCCTTTTCTAGTTAAGGTCCACCAAATAACTTCCTGAGGTACCCTATCATAAGCCTTTTAAGTCAATGAACACCAAATGCAGATCCTTGTGAGCGTCTCTATACTTCTCCATAAGTTGCCGAAGAAGGTGAATAGCCTCAGTTGTTGAGCGACCAGACATAAAACCGAATTGATTCTTTGAAATCTTCACAGTTCTTCAAAGTCTTTGCTCAATCACTCGCTCTCAAAGTTTCATGGTTTGACTCATAAGCTTAATGTAACACTTGAGATTTAATATAAACGGATTAATAGTACTACTCATACCAATAAGATGCATCTCCTTTTAAGGGAGCTCATCACCTAAGAACTCCAAAGTTAAGCGTGCTTGCACGGGAGTAGTCTTGGGATGGGTGACCCCCTGGGAAGTTTCTCAGGGCGCGCACGAGTGAGGACAAAGTACGCGGAAAAGGCTAGTGGCGGTTTATGGGGACAGTACTAGAGGTCTGGAGTAACTACCTCGGGTCCTGTGGGGCTGGGGTGTTACAGGTGGTATAAGAGCAACCCTGCGACAGTGTGCTGACCCGTTGGATATCGGGCGGGTACTTAGCGGGGGAAGATTCTGGGATTTGATTGAGATTTGAGATTGGTTCAAGGGCGCAACGAGGACGTTGCGTTCCTAAGTGGGGGTGATTGTAACACTTGAGATTTAATATAAATGGATTAATAGTACTACTCATACCAATAAGATGCATCTCCTTTTAAGGGAGCTCATCACCTAAGAACTCCAAAGTTAAGCCTGCTTGCACGGGAGTAGTCTTGGGATGGGTGACCCCCTGGGAAGTTTCTCAAGGCGCGCACGAGTGAGGACAAAGTATGCGGAAAAGGCTATCGGTATGCCATCTGGACCCACTGCTTTCTTCTGCCCCATCTTCTTCAGAGCCTCTTTAACTTCCGTTGTTTGGATCCTTCTCACAAAATCACGATTTACCATACAATCTGGTAAATCGTGAAGTAAATACATCGTGTTTCAATTAATTTATGTTGAACTATTAACTTCTACAATCAAGAGCTCTACATCTTACCATATTTAGGTTTTAAAAATGGATAATTTATTATGAAGTGTTTCATTCTGTAAATTAAAAGACCATCTTCAATGCTACAATGTGCACGATGCGCATGTCGCATGAGAGAGATAGACACATAGAAAATGAAAAGAAATGTGTATGATTAATTTTACTGTGTCTATTTCTCACATGCCAAAAATGAAGAGAAATGGTAAATTGCATAGAAAATGGCAACTTTCTTCAGAATGGAAGGTTTCCTTTTTTATTATGAAACGTGGATGCAATTTGTGCAATTTAGAGATCTCCAACTTACCTTTTTTATTATTAAAAAATGGAAGGTCAACCATGAAGCAATTTATTTCTTCTTTCTTCATAATTAATCATTCAAAATTGGAAGTTATTTACTTGGACGGTTAGTTAAATGAAAGGTGGTGTAAAACTAATGATTGCACATTCAAACTTACCTAAATAAAAAAATGCATGTTACTGTTACAGTACATCAAATGACTCATATACCCCATTTTAATTCGTTGACCGCTTAGAAGTTGTTTTCATTTTTTATTCCATGCGTGTGAGTGCGACAGTTTAACGATGCAACCCATACGGAGAGCTGTCCGATTTTTCTAATCCAACGGATGGTATTGGTTTGTAGGTTTGCACCGGAAGCATGGTTTGCATGTCATGAAAGTGAATTCTCTCTCAATTGACCATAAAAGTGAGGCATAACATTGAAATCGTTACTCCTCAATTCATAATCTCTTGTCGTCTCACTTAGCACAATGTAAGACAGAAGGTCTGCAACAACTGATCTTTTAAATGTCATTTTTTCAATAATTTATTTAATTGACTTCCACATAAAATTTTAAACTAAAGTTTTGTGTGAGTGTTTTATACTTCGTGAAAAGTATACTTAAATAATTTAATCAAAAAATTCAAATCGGATGTCCCTCAAACGGGTTTGGCCGGATGACAGTTCACATCTATCCAGACTAACCAGATCTCTACTCTATATTATATAGGTGAAAGTTCATATAGAAACTCATTTTAACATAGAAACCCTTTTATTGTGGAAACTATCTAGGTCACCCATCAAATAAAAAAAAAAAAATAAACCGGTGGTTTACGGCCTGTTTGGATGGAGTGTTGGGGAGGGTTAGTAATGGAAGTGTTAGTAAGTGTTGATACTAACACTTGTTTGGGAGAAAAATTAAGAGGTGCTAAGAAGTGTTAGTAAAGGTTATTAGGAAGTGTTAATAATAACCTTCTGAACACCTCAATTGTCCATTTTTTAAGACCCCGATTTGGATGTTTTGAGGTGTTGGACAATTATTACCCTTTTCATTTACCCTAAAAACATAAAATGTTTTGAAGTCTCACTTTGAATCTCTTTCCCATAGGTATGATGGTCTGTCTTTTTCATCTCTTCTCCTTACTCGTTTCTTTTGTCTCGCGGTAAAATTCTTAACACTTCCATTATTAACACTTCATTCATTTGACTCTCCCAAACAAACACTTACACTTCCCTTCCATTTCGGGCCTTTACTAACACTTCCGTTACTAACATTTCATTCATTTGTTATATGTGTTGAATGTAAACATCGATGTTTTAATTTATTTCACTTTTTATATCCCTTGAAAGTTTATTTCTTAAAGTCGTAAATCATAATCAATGAGCTTTACACAGAGTTACAGATTAGTAAAATTGATTTAGTATAGTTTAGATTTTGACTTCAGTATAGTTTAGATCTTGGCTTCAGATATATACGATCGTGTTTACTGTAGTATGTATAAGCAAACAAGTAGATGGTAGTGCTCCCTATATCAACCTATCTCCTCTCATTGATCAGTAGAGTATTGTAAGACTTAGATCTCTTTCCGATAACAAAGATAAGATATTGATTTGTTCAGTTTATTAACAAAACTTATTAATTCTTGATAGATTGTGAGGCTAGTGAATCACATGGAAAAATGGGAGATCAATATCAAATATGGAAGTCAAATCTCTCATCAAAGAATGGATTCCAGAAGTGACTTCTTTTAAAAGGTAGAGTCTTTTGTATGGTTATTTGAGAAGTTTTTGGAAGCAATGGGGGATAGTCCTATTTGTTTAATCACCTGGTCAAGATCCTACAAAAGGTTGCAATACCACAAGTTTTTCACACACAACTCACAGATTGTGTGTTCGACATATATATAATGAGAAAACTTTCACAAAAGGTAGGGGTTTCATTGTGTAGCGATGCAATTTTTAACGCCAAATTTAAGTCATGTATGTACAACTTAGAAACAGAGGAAGATTTTGAATCTAAATGGAGTTATATTATTGTCTAGTCAACTTAGAAAATAATTATTGGTTGTCACACCTATACGAGATCACGAGAATGTGGATCTCACATTTTTTAAAGATTTGATTTTAGGAACTTTGTTAAAGGCAATTCCGAGGTCAGAAAACGAGAATAGCTTTTTAGCAATTCACGAATCCACATCTTAGTTTAGTGGAATTTTGGATGCGGTTTGAGGGTGCAATAGAAGTGCAACGAGATCGTCACTCGCTATCTGATCACCAAACACTTTCTTCGATGACTCAATGAAAGATGCATAGCAAGTTAGAGAAGCATGTAGGCATTTTATTTTACAAGCTTATGTTTATCTTAAAATTTGTGCGACTTTTTTTGTCAATTATGTTAACTTTAGCATGGCGTTTCTCGTGGAGCTACAATTTACACATATGCTAACTTTTACAAGTTCATGATGAATTATGGCATTCATGTATCAATGTATGGATTATTAAGTTTATGCGAGAAAAGAGGTGGATGAAGGGGTATTAATTACTATTGCAAACGTAAGCCATAAGAGTAAGTAGAGAGACGTTGTTTATACTCATTTAAATCACTTTGCACATTGTTCATGTAAGATGTTTGAAGGTGGAGGAATTCTTTGTGATCACATTCTATGTCTACAATCTCTACCACACAATTTTTACTTTAATAATTATTGTGCTAGTCAAATTTGATAAAGTTTTAAGGGATCGAGACAATATGAACAAAGCCACAAGCATCACATTAAAAAAATTCTTACATATCACTTTAATTATTAATTAAATATACACGACTTCAGAATATATATCCCTATAGTACTTTCTAATAATACTCCATTCCACAACATTTTGCAACTTATATTTTGGGAACCCAATATGTTCCTGTTTTAACTCTTTTGTAATGTTCGTATTTGGGCAATTTCTTAAGTATTTTTTATGATTTTGATTCAAAACATATATTCAGAGTGTAATAACTACTAAAGGAGTGCTTGGATAAATTTGAGGACCACCAAATTTAAATATGTTCATAATAATCGAATGATGAATAATGTAGAAATTTTTAAAAATTTCCTCCGTAAACCTAAAGATATAACAACTCAGTAATATACAGTGGTATTATACATGGATATCTACACCTTCATCATTCCAGATACGTAGGGGATACCAGTCGGCTTAATCCAATCATCGCCCTGAAGGAAAACTCCGGCAGTGAACTGTTTGGCAACCTGGGGAGAAATGTTCTTCTTGTAGCCCTTCCAGTTCACCCTTCCTGATGTTTTCGCTCCTGCCCCGCGGTTTTGATACTCTGCATACCAGCAAGTGTCCAGCCCGAAGTCACCCATCCATGGCGACCACCCCGCTGGGTCAATGAATCCGTCGATGTTCGACTGCATTATGACGGTCCTCGAGAATTCCTTCCATGGTCGTCCCAAGAACACTTGGACCACTGGTTTCACGGCTTTCAGTGCCGGGTCCGGTAGGATTTGGCAGTTCTGGAGAACCAGCCCGCCGACTCCCCTGTGGTCCTTTCGGCCCTGGGCAGTCACCATGCAGGCTTGGTTCTCCAGAGGCTTCCTCACCACCATCTTGCAGTTCTGCAGGACGGCGGCTGCGTCGCCGAAGATGAAGTCGATGGTCCCGGTGATTGTGCAGTCCCGGTAGTATTGGCGGTAGGAGTGGGTGTAGAGGGTGTCTTGGTAGCCGTCCATGTGGCAGTTGTGGAACACGGCCATGTCCGCTGACACCCGGAGAGCCACTGCCTGGTGCTTTTCCGGACCGGCCGTGTTCTCAAATCCGATGTCGCGTGCTATGAAGTTGTCGCCTTGGATCGCGACGGTTGCGGTCTTGTAGGTACCGGTCCCGTCAACGTAGTTCTTGTTTCCGGTGATCCTCGTCTTTGTGGGACCCTCTCCGAGGAAAACGATCTTGTTCATCTTCCTAGGTACGAGAACATACTCCTTGTACACGCCGGCTTTAATGAAGATGACGACGGTGCGGTTGTTCTTAGGCGGGATTGATTTCAAGGCGTCATTGATGGTTTTGAACTTCCCGGAGCCATCCTTGGCGACGACGATGTCGTGCTTTATGGATTTCGGGCTGGCGGCGAGGAGTCGTCGGGAGGCGGCGTCAAGAAACGTGGGGTAGTTGCCGTCATCAAGCTCCACCGCCGACTCGAGTAACCTCCGGTTGAATCCGGGGATTTCCAAGGTCTGGATGAGGTCGGTGAATTGGGTGATCATGGCAAGACCGTTGCTGCTGAGCTCGCCGGCGGTACGGAGGAGATGCTTCATTTTCTCGCCGCTGTCGCCGGTGGTGTTCTCGAAGGCGTCAATGCAAGTCTGCTGGTGGGTGATGGCGCCGCTAAGCCAAACCTTGAGGTCGCTGGCGTATTCTTGGATCTTGGAGAGGTCGAAATCCTCAAGCTTATCGAAAGACCTCTTGAGATCATCAATGGAGTCTTCCAAAAGCTCCTTGCATGTTTCCAGAGCGCCGGAGGTTCTTGGGTCCTTGGCGGCGTCATTGAGGAGGGACGACTTGGAGATGGCGTCGGTGATGTTCTTCACCGTCACTTGGAATGCAATCTTGATGAGCTCTTTCGGGTCGCTGGTGTTTTTAGCGCCGGAGAGACTCTCCTCACAGGTCTCTTTGTAATCTGTCGGGGCGCAAATGGCTTTCACCGATTTGGTCGTAGTTGAAATCCCACCGGAGCCGGAGCCGGAACCGCCGTCAGAGGACTTGCCTCCGCTGGTTTTGTGCATGGTGACCGTGGCGGCCACGACGCAGGCCACCAGGAGAACGGATGCGACGCCGGCGGCGACGAGCTTTTTCTTATTTCCGGCATCACCGGACCCCATTTTTTGTTTTTTAATATTTTTTTTTTGTTTTATATTACAACTCTTGGATGGGGTCTTTTATTGGGATGCCTTTGACCCCCCTTGTTGTTTATTTTTGGATGATGGTTGAATGGGAAGGAATGAAAGGCCTATTTATAAAGCTGAGATAAACAAACAAATAAAAAATTTGAGGTTGAGAAATGATGCAACAAATAGATGGTGCTTAGTGTTTATAGGAATTTAAAGAGAACACTCTCATCGGATGAATGAATGTGCATTAGGAAATGTAGATTGATTCATTGGTTTTCTATGGAAGCAGTAATTAAGGTTGAGAGTTCATTAATTAAACGCATTAAAAAACGTAAGGGTGTTAGTAATTATTGTTGAGGGTTCCATCTCTTTACATTTGTGAATGACAAATATTAGTATTTTTTTTTGTACATCGGAAAAGAATAATATAATGGTAACTTTACTCGTCAATTGATCCGCGCGTTGCACGACAAAATTCGATTACATCGTAACTCATTTCATAAATACTACATAATAAACTTTTTTTGTAAACCATATTTGCCATATGGTTTGGTAGTCCATTCTGAGTTTAGTGTTCAATCTAATGTCATTTCCTATTTTGTTGTATATGTAATTTTATTATACTTAAAATCCATTCACAATTTTAATGAGAAATGTTATTGATCTTAAAATCTACTCACTAATCTGATAAGAAATGTTTAGTCCATATACCGTGCGCAAAAGTACTCAGGTTCAGTTCTAATACCGAACCGGCCCAAGGACGAACCAAACTGATTTTTTGGTTTCTAGAATTTTCAAAACCGAAATTGTACCAATTATAACTGTGAACCAATTTTTATTTCAATTATAAAAGTTTACAAGGTTCACAACAATTACACGATACTGCATACAATTACCCTTACTACAATGTTGGGCACTAAACATTTCATTCTGCCTCTGTAAGATGCAATGCTGACCTCTAATGAGTATGAGCTATGAGGTTGCAAAGCACCATCAGAAATAACCAGAACAACCGCCATCCTAGTTGCCAATCGATATAACAACTACAACAACAACACACAGGTAGACCGTGATGAACCAAAATCAAACCATGTATGTCTTCCCAACTTGGATAATGTTCATGTGAGGGACCCGCAATGTCGCTGCCCCACCTCTGCAGTTGCTCCTCATAAATGAGTAAAAATAATTGATTGCTAGTTTCTTGATGAACCAAGAGCTTTTCTTGGCCCTCACATCCGCATGCCCGAGCAGGTAGGTAAATCCCGATTCGGTGGCTTCCCGTAGAGCCGACAGCTCGTACTCCAACCCAGGATCTTCTTCTCCTGACATCACACTAGCCGGCAATAGAGGGTTCCCTGTTCCTTCCCATCTATTATGATGATCCTGCATCATCAATGGAACCCTGAGATCCTCCATCCCGTTGTTGTCTTCTACAGAAGACTCGGTCTCCCTTGACTTCACTGACACGTCATCAGTCTGGTTTGTTAGACTGGCAGTCTCGAGGGCAAGCTCTTGGGCCTCTTTCCTCAAAAACTTCTCAAGGCTATCCAGCAGAAGTTGCTCAAACGCTTGATGGTTTTCTTTCCTGACGTCTTTGTAACCGTACCTGTTCGAAATCGAATGTTTATTACAGTTGTGTCTGCAACTTTCACTTCTTGAAGATTTCTGGAGTAAGTTAGACTAAATTAATACTCCCTCCGTCCCATTTTACTTGTCCTACTTTTCTTTTTGGGTTGTCCCAAAATAAGTGTCGTCTTTCCTTTTTTAGAAAGAAATATGTGGTTTACATCATTTACTTTATTATACCCAAACCTCAACCACAACTTTTACTTTTTCAACTACTTTATTAATAATCGTGACAAGTTAAAGTGAGACACATAAAATGGGACGGAGGTAGTGTAGTACCACGTATTAAAGTCTACCCCAGTTTCATCGTACTCAAAAGCCAGACTCACTATCTTTTGACTTGGGAATATGATGTAATACAGCAAGATGACTCACTAAATTGTTTGCGTTTCTTTATTATATAGTGTCAGTCAGTCTATGCAATTTTCAATGCAATTTTCAACGCAATTTTCATCATGGGTCATCCAAAATATGCTTTAGTACATGGGTAAGATTGTGTACAGTAGTTGGGAGCTTTTGCGGCACTGAGGTAATGTTGTTGTATTTAAGTCTGGCCCAATTGTGTTTCATTTGCGTGCTTAGTACATATGGTTTAAGGTTGGTTTGCACATTCATCAACCCTCCCATTGTCTAACTAGGTTTGGGCTTGAAGTGTTTGTCGTACATAGGTATGTTGACACAACTAGCGGAAAAGATACTTTTATGAGCTTTTTTGTAACTACTAGCTTTTAATGATTGAAAAGATCTTAGAAAGAAAAGGTGGTAACCATTCGGTAAAAAAATGATTGTTTGATTTAATTTTGTTTGGTATACAAGTTGCTGGGACTAATTAATGCTAAAGCTACAGACTTTTCTCAGATGTTACTCCATATAGCATCTCAAAAAAGATCTTTATTTTTAGAAAAGCTCTTGAAAAATTTCAAGTCAAACATACAACCAGAAGCTTTTAAAGACTTTTTAAATACTACAAAACTAGAAGGTAGAGACGTATGCTTAGCAAACATGCACATAAGCTAGATATAAAATAATAAAACAATATATAAGATTGTGGGTAGCTCCTGCTATTAAGTTTATCTTTTAGGGTTGAACACTTGAACCTCAAATATTTAAACTCGGAATACCTGGCAACACAGCGGAACATATGATAGTCATTGGGGCCCACTCTTCGGAACAAGAACCGCTCTTCCTGAGGAACAACAGGCACAGGCACATATTTTATGCAAACAAAGACTAGGATCGAGTGAATGGCTGGAAGGTCGAGAAGAAACTGGATGAAAACTGAGGGAATGCCCTGGACGAGCTCATTGTAGAGTAATCCTATGCCCGGGACCCTTACAGTTCCAAGTGTGGAGCCCAGATCGTACAAGAAATCCATTGAGATCTTCTGCTTGACCTCAACCTGGTACTTCAACACGCTTCCATAGTTCCACACATACATCATAGAGAGGAACAAGGTAGCAAATACAAGTGGAAGCCAGCCACCTTCCAAGATTTTTGATAGGACAGCAGACAAATACAAAAGCTCTATTGAGCCAAATACCAGAGGGAAGCATAAAGCTATGTATAAATTTGTTCTCCATATCAAAAGCATCACAAGTGTGACCATGATGGTGCTAACCAACATGACGCCAACTTCAGCTATACCTGCAACAAAGACGCTAGGGTGCTAATGTGCTATATAATATATCTTCACTCGTACGAAGCGTGGCAATTGGGTTGGATCACATGTTAGAAACAGATTGACCCAGTTTGACCAATAAATATATTTAAAACGCTTACATTTTGATCATAGAAAATGCTATAGAAAGTGGGGGACTTAGGTAAGTTATTCTTTTCCATTTAGCTTTATCATATAAAATGCAAAACAAAATAAAAAATGACATATATTTTACAACTTGTTTCCTTAGATTTCTTACACTTTATATAGTAGAAATAAGTACATAAAATGAGCCTATTTCAAATATTTAAAATAATTTTATTGAGTTTGAGCCAATCTTTTATTTTTCTCAACTTTTTCTTTCCTTCAAATTTCTTTCTAGTTTTCCTTCTCTAGTATTCTCCGAGTTCCAAACGGACCCTAAGAATCAGAACCATATCTATGGATGATGTTTGGGAAGTTATTTCCCAAGTTCTAAGGGCTCAAACCAACAATATAAGGTCCAAGCAATGAACCTGGGGATGGGATTGAAGGTGTCAAAATTGTCTATTCATTCCATAAAAGTTTTTGTGACGAAACATCAATGGACAAGAAAGTCAAGTAACTCCAGGAAAGATTTAGAGATTTACCGTATGCATTCGCTATGCTTGTTGTGCTTCTAAAAGCAGCTACTACAGCCATGCACATGATCATCAAAAACCAATTAACTACAGGAATATAAATCTGACCCATGTGCCTCTTTGAGGTGTGTACGACCTTCAGTCGTGGGAAGCATCCAAGAGCCATGGCTTGCTTAACACATGAAAATGAAGCAGATATCATGGCCTGGCTAGCAATTATAGCAGCAACTGTGGCTATCACAAAAATTGGCCAGAAAAGCCCATCTGTTTGTTCATGATGATCCCAACTGTCAAATGAAGCACATATAGATTCAAACAACAAAAAATGTTGTTTCCCAATAGGAGCAGTGGAAAATTACCAGGCACAGAGGAATAGAATATTGTGCTGGCGGAATTAGGATGTTTCATGAGATATGCAGCTTGGCCAAAGTATGCTAAGAGAAGGCAGGGGAAGACCGCGCCAGTAAAGGCAATCTGCAGTGATCAAGGTACATAAAAATAAGGGAAATTTGGTATTTCGACCCCATGTTTAACCCCATATCTGATTTTGCACCCCGTGTTTTAGTTTTTTTTACTTTGCATCCCGAGTTGGATAAGAAGTCAAATGTTAAGGTAACTATGGATGCAAAGTCTAACAAATAGAATTGGTATTTGCACCCCCTGTTTAACGGAGTATTTGACTTTTCTCCCCATTTGGGATGGAAACTAACAAATATTGGGGTAAACGTGGGGTGCAAATGGCAGATTCCCCTAAGCATAAAACATGATAGCAGTGAGCCACTGATGGAAGGATCTTGTTGAAAGGAAAGTGGTTGAAACGGGAGCCAATGGTTAAAAGAGAGTCACCTGTATAGACCTCACAGAGAAATGACCTAAATCAGCAAACATTGCTTCAGCTCCTGCACCTCAAAACAAGACAGCATATTAGTAGCTTATACATATCAGCTTGAGCAACATATTTTGTTACTATTAAAATTTAAATATGAATTTCATTTCTGCGCCATTCAGCCGATTATTCATTAGCTCAGGAAGTGTATCACAGAAAAACATCATACTCAAGATCTATAGCAAACATTTTGCCAATACAGAACTAGATCTCCATATTAAGAGAACATTACTGCTAAAAAAGAGAAAAGGGGCAAATAAGCCCTCGAACTATTTGCAATTCTGCAATCAGGCCCCTGAACTTGAAGAATTGCAGATATACCCCTCAACTCATTGAAAATGATGCAATCAGGTCCTTTTTACCTGCTGGTGCCGGTAATATTTCATCTTCTTACCCCCCACCAACAGGTAAAAAGGATCTGATTGCATCATTTTCAATGAGTTGAGGGGTGTATTTGCAATTCTTCAAGTTCAGGGGTCTGATTGCAGAATTGCAAATAGTTGGAGGGCTTATTTGCCTCTTTTCTCGCTAAAAAATCATAAAAATACAATATAAATCTAGAAAGCGCATCTCTACTTTTATTTTTATTACTACGTAATAAAAATAAAGACTTGAGCATACAAGGCTAATACCAGTGATGCATAAAACACAGCCACCGAGAGCTGACCATGCCTGGGTGGAATTCTTGGAGAAGAAAAGATAGATATAAGCCGGATTCAATGCCCTTACCACAGAAACATCATACTTAAACAGGTTGTACATTCCAATAGATCCCAAACTTATGAACCAGATTGCTAGGGCAGGAGCGAATGTGAAGCCCACTTTACTTGACCCTAACCGCTGTATGCTGAATAATGCACCAAGGATGACCACTGAAGTAATAACAAGAGCATCTGCAGGTGAAATATATCACTTTAATTTTCTGTAAACTGAAACACAAAAATACCTCACTCCCCCCCCCCCCCCAAAGCCCAATATTACCCTTAGTGACAGTAAAGACAGAGTAGGCGTCGCGACTGTAAATATGAGCCATACAGGACTGAGTATTATACATTTGTAATATGCGAATAGTATCAAAATGTGTGCTTTAATGTCCCATCCATACATATCCTGTGGATGGGCTATCACTATCAGCACTTCAATTTGCTGGTTTCCTATTCACTGACAAAAGGATCCTTTTTCACGTTAAACTGGCAATTGAATGATTTAAAGTTATTACTCCCTCCCACCTTTAAAACGTTTCTTTGGTCCCAAAGAAATGGTCATGTTTCATCACACGAAACTAGCTTTCCATGTGATTACATGATTAAAAGATTGTGCCTTCACCAAACAAAACTATTTATTGGTATGACCGTATGAGGGAATAATATATTTACTTTGACTCAAGAAAAGAGATCTATAAAGAGTACTCACTACTCAGGATTACTTACTTGTTCCGAACCAAGATATCTTACCCTCTAGACCACTCACAGCGGACACCACTGCAACAGAAAACTATTGCTTAGAAAATAATTTTAGAATATAGTGGGGGTAAACCCACCACAATAAAACAAATGATGTGTGAAGCAAAACAAACTGTTGTCCGTTAAGGACTTCTTTGGTTCTGGGTCTTCAGAGGGAATGGAAGGGGAGGATAACTTAAAAAATAATAAAAATCTACATTTAGCTTGTAGGAAATAAAGTGATTATAAAAAATAATATACAAATATGTGATGTAACTAATCATATACGGAGTAATTATTACTAGTTTAAAACTATTAAATAGAGATAAACTGATAATATAAAATCAACTATCCTCTTCCTTTCCTTCCGAAATTCCTAACCAAATGAGCCCTAAAAATAGTAATACCTGACATTGCTGGCGTCAAGATGCCATCCCCTATGATCATTGATGTTCCCATGAGAACCAAAAGCAAGAGCATGGTCTTCAAACTGGATTTACGTTCCAGTAAGTCTTTTATATGTAAAGCCCTTTGTAGTTCTGGTGTGGGAATTTTGAGCTTAAAACTGGAGATATACTCATCAGCTGGCTGGCGATTTGGGAGAAGGCTAACATTTGCATACCTGCAGATCAACGAATACAGAGCAAATGTTCCTCCTGCCATCATCAGATTCATTACATGGGTAATCAAAACCATTTTTCCCAGACATATAGCATGTGGCTTATCAATAAAAAAATAGTGCATGCTTGAAGTGTGATGAAGAATTTGCCCCACATCTGATAAATATGAAGTAACAAACCCGTACATAAGTTTTGGACTATTACTCCTATTACATTGACCTTATGTACGAAGCCTCAAGTTTAATACACTGTCAAACCTGATCTTCCTTGTGAAAAATGAAAATGATCTAGACGAGGTGTCGAACCTAAAGGGTATGCGCGCTTATGAAAAGCCATGTGGAGTTTGTATGATGACAAAGAAAAATCAATAATTGCACGAATGTATCAAGCATAAATCTTTATAAAGTAAAATACTCACATACCTTCTCCATTGTCATTGGCCTTCAATACAATGAACACATACTTCATGAGAGGAATGAGAGCGATTGTATATATCACTATCGACAATGCCCCCAAGATATCAATTTCTGAATCTATGGTCACCTTACTGAATACATCAGCAAAAACATACAAAGGGCTGGTTCCCACATCACCATACACTACACCAAGTGTTTGAAATGCTAGAGAAAGAGTCGCAAAGAGTGGAAGATCCTGGTTAATGCAAGTAATAAATTTTGTAAATAGTTAATTACTTACATAACACTTCAAAAGACTTAGTGAAGCATCTTATTCAAGCAGCTTAGTTATTAGCTTTTTTAAAGCAACAAAATCAAATAAGTTGTGTTTGGTTGGCAAATTTATTTCATATGCTGCTTTTTCAAATTGCATGACTTTTCAAATGCACTCATTTTTTATTTTTAAATTAATGTAAACACGTTCTTTAATACCATTTTTATATTTCAAAGATACATCCCTGAGCTAATACTAGCCAAATACTGTGAGCTAGTATTAATCATATTACAAAGGGAAAATAACTTTAAAAATACCAATTTCATACCCCACCTTTTAAATATATAGCAAAAGTGATATGGAATCACTTTAATTCTTTCAGACTACAAATCCGGGCACTTAATCTGTCAAATAATAGTAGCAAACCATCAAACAAGCTTTGTTTACTGACTCATCGCCCATTCTTTATTGTTTGACTCACTGGTTTTGTAGTAAAAAAAGTAGTTATGTATCAATTCTGTTATAGATAAATAAGGGGGTGTTTGGATCTGAATCTTAAAACTGCTTCTACTCCTTCAGGGAGAAGAAGCAGAAGATGTAGTGTTTGGGTGAAAGTGCAGAACTGATTCTGGTGCTCTAATTTGATCCTAGAATCATTTTTTTAGAAGCTGGGGTGAACAGCTTCTGAAAACTGATTCTGATTCTGCTTCTACTTTGAAAAATAAGAAGAAGCAGAATTAGGGGGTGTTTGGATCTGATTCTCAAAACTGATTCTGCTCCTTCAGGGAGCAGAAGCAGAAGCTGGAGTGTTTGGGTGAAATTCCAGAAACACTACTGGTGCTCTAATTTACTCTCAGAATCAGTTTTTTTAGAAGCTGGGGGGTACCAGCTTCTGAAAACTGATTCTGATTCTGCTTCTGCTTTTAAAAAAGAAGCAGAAGCAGAGTCAGTTCCAAACACCCCCTTAGTTCCAAAACACCCCTAAGTATTAAAACAGTCGAGATATGAAATGGTTAAGCCTTGTCCTATCAATTAAAGCTACTTTATTCGGTTATTAATTATTAGCAGCTTGTATTGCCAAACAACCCTTAAGTGGAAGGGTTCAATTATTAGAGTGTTAAAGGCTTACTGTGAAAGAAACAGCAAAAACGGACGAAACAAACAATTCTATCCTGGAGTTCTGAAACGGGAAACACTCAAATATTTGATTTTGGATTTCTTTTACCTTGTTATGGGAGGTATGTCCACCCCCAGCAATCTCCAAGGCTTCAACGTCAAAGGAATTGACTCTCTTGGGCTTCTTGGCAAGCCTCCTCCTAATAGATCCATACCCTTCTCGGATCTCATCGTCTCCATGCATTGACCATGGAGTTGACTCCGAGTCCACCTCGCTTCCATCCACCCACCTCCTTGACTCCCCGGTGCTGCTACCTCCAGTACCAGTCCTCCTCAGTAAACCCACCACCACACTCTCCTCTATCTCTCCCGTTTCAGTCATTCCACCCGTCAAGGATTACTGGGTTTCTACCATTATCATCCTAAGTGAATGTATATAGCACGTACAACTGGGATGAATAGAGCCATATTTATGACCAAACGAGTATCAAAAGGCTAGAAGAAGTGTTGGGTAAACTATTGTTTTTTACCTTCCACGTTTTTTTGGACCAAACGGTCGAGTCGAAGACTGGGAGACTGAGAAATAATTGTGTCGCTCTGAGTAATGACAAAGCAATGGGACCAACCCGATCCCGAATGGCCAAGTTTCGCAGTAAACCTTTTTAAAAAAATGTTTAAAAGGTACTCCCTCCGTAACTTAAAAATCTTCTCACTTTCCTTTTTCGTCCGTAACACAAAAATCTTCCCATTTCTAAATCTTCCCATCATACCCTCAATAATTCTTAAAAGAATACACTATTACAACTACTTTTTTTTGGATTTATCCCACATTCCACTACATTATTCCACTATTTTCCCATCATACCCTCAATAATCCATATCATCTTTCACTATTCTTAATCTACCTACTTTTGAAATGGGAAGATTTTAAAGTTACGGAGGGAGTAGAAATAATGGCCAAAGTATTACTTCTACAGCCCGTTTGTTAGCACTAAAATTGGCTGAAGTGGATAATTCTGTTGAAATTTATGAAGTTCTGGCTGAAGTGACTGTATTGGCTGATGCTGCTGATTAATGAAAAAAAATATTTAAAATATTTGTTATTAATAAATTAAATAATTAAATAAAATATTATATGAAAAAATAGTTAAAATGATCTTCTACAGTAACTTCAGCCAATACAGCCAGAAAAGTAACTCCAACTTTCTTTTTCTGATTATTCCAAAATTTAGCGCGTGAAATCAAAATTTACATATTTGGTGAAAAAGCTGGTTGATAATCTTGATAAGCCGTAAAAATGGGTCACCAAACGGGCTCCTAACCTTATAGTTTTTGAATGGACAAAAATATGATTAATTCTGGGATTAGGTCATCAAGTCATGAATAATACGTAGTACTAACTAAATGGATTTGGACAAATATAGAACCTCTTTTAGTATCAACAAAAAATGAGACCATGTGTTGATTTCCTACCCGTTTCAAATTCCAATCGCCCGAAAATGCTACTCCGTGTATAGGCGAAGTTAAAAAAATGTACTCCGTATGACTTCATTAGTTTGTAACTTTGTACTCTGTTACAATTACTCGATTGATTTACGGTTACGACTAATTGCAGTTACATGTCCAATTAATTACAATTATTTGTATGATCAATTACAGTTACTCGTTCAACCAATTACAGTTATCCGTCTGATCAGTTACAATTACCTGCTCAACCAGTTACAGTTACTCACACAACCAGTTACAATTATTCACTCGACCAGTTACAATTACTCATTCGATCAATTACAATTACCTGTCGACAATTACCGTTATCTGACCCGTTCAGTTACAATAAATCGACTCGTCCATTTACAATTACTCGACTCATCCAATTACAGTTACCCGACCCGTCCAGTTATAGTTATCTAGCCCGTCCGGTTACATTTACTTGACCCGTCCAGTTACAATTAATTAACCCGTCCAGATGCACTTATCTGATCTATTCGGTTACAGATACCCGACTCGTCTAACTATAATTGCCTGGATATATCAATTACAGTTACCCAATCAGCGCTAGCTACCACCGCCGGTGACCATTAATGACCACCACTCCCGGCCACCGTCGGCAACGCCAGCTGTCACCGCCTCCGACCAACGCCCCACCCCGACTCAACTCCTCAGCCCCTCCCGCGGCCCCAATCCTTGCACAATCGCACTCACCACCACACCCTACATCGTTATTCGCGTCATTTGACTCCACTGGTAGCCTAAGCCCCCGACCAGCCCGCATGCCCATCACACTCCACCGCCATCCCCGCCCCATCACCACCCCACAAATCTGGCGACTCCATCAGCCCTGCAACAATTCCAGTGTCCAACACAACCGCTATCTCCAGCCATCAGCTCACAACCTCGTTCCTGCCCAGTTGGCACTGCCCCACCATTGCGACATGCGGCCGCCACTACCCCGCCCCTTACCCTATACACCATCGCATATCCAAACCCGCTGATTCAAATTCCAGATCTAAATTTGATGATCGGAGATGTTCCTTTGGTGATGAAGTCGCCCGTACGAAGACAAAGACAACTGTGGTCGACATCTCCGTCTAAGCTATTGTGACCCTACCGCCTCCAAAATTGCAACAAAAGAAAGAAGGAAGAAGAAGAAGTCGGCGACGCGCCTAATCTTCTGCAGCGACCTGGTGTGTGTGACGACCTGCAGGTGAGGAGCCACCATGCAACTTTGAAGAAAGTTGATAGGCAGCGGCGCGATGCAAGAAAGAGGTGGGTACCGACAACGGGAACTGTGAGAAGAGGAAGGAATAATAAATGGGGGTAATTATGCCACTTTAGAAATATTTGTTCTCATTTTTGTCATAAATAAAACCTAATTCCACTTTTGTCCGCTGAAAAGTCGTTAGTAATAATTTTGCCATTATTTCATTATTTTTTGTGTGGACAAAAAGTGACATGTCCATGTGTATACTTGGAATCATATGCCCTTCACTTTTTTTCTTCCTCAATTGTACGTAGCAAGCTTCACTTTTCTTCTTCCCCAACTGTGTGTAGCAATCGTTTGAAGGAGAAGACCCATATCACCCCTCTTTTCTGCCGCTAGTGCTCTCCTGCCACCGTCTATCTGCCACAACTCTTCTTCTTCTCATTTCTTCTTCGTCGGTGAAACTGCCATCGCTCACCTTCTCCGGCCGCGTGCAACTGAATTCGGCTACCTTCTCCGCCACCTACAGCTGAAATTGATAGCTTCTTTGTCCTCTTCGATGGTCGTGCCTCCGCTGCATCTATTATCCTCGATGGAGTGTTGTCGCTATCGGATTACCAATCTCAACGTACTACAACTCCTATTTGGGGTCGCAGGTGTCGAATCTGCCATCCTCGTTGTTAGAGAGGGGCCTGAGCGAAGGACACATAGATGGCTGAGGATGGCCACGATAGGGGGTGCCACCCATGGATGGGGCATGGACGGTAATGATTGTGGATGGGGCGGCGACGGCTTGGACCGGGGAAGGGGATCATCGTGGTGTCGTTGTTAGAAGCAGGGCGGTGCAAAGCGGTTGAAAACTATGTTGTTGTACAGCTTCACCAAAAACAATTGTCAGAAAAATTATGGGCGGTCACAGTGACGTGTTTCGCGGCAACAATGACATCTTTAAACGATTGAAAATTTGGTAGTGACAACTTTCAATGTCATGAAAAAATCGCAATAACATAAAATTTTCATAGTTTCATCGTGTTTTTCCAAACGTATGACCTTTTTATCACATTTTTGTCTATTTTTACATGCATTCACAATGTTTGGAAATTTACTTCAATTTCATACTACATAATGTTTTAGGGAAAAAATCTCAAGGGTTTTGGGATTGTTTTTAGGTTTGATTACTAGATTATATGCTCAATTCCACAAATTCTGTTTACTAATTATTTTTTTTTATTTTGAGAGGAACTAAGAGCTCTCTTCCTACAATATGCAGGGTTAGATAGTCTGTCGTTCCATCCACTAGTGCGGTTTTATTTGTTGGGTGTGTTTCGGAAAATAAAGAAAATTAATCAAAATAAATTAATTAAATAAAATGACTAGAGAAAAACAAGAAAGGAGATGAAGCAGAATTAGTCAAAGCTCGTGCTACGCACGATGTCCTTAAAACGTATTTGTTGCCTCCCACGGTGCTAGGAGCGTTGCAACAATAGTTTCCCAGGATACGATGACTACGAACTAATGTTTGAGCACACAAACAAGAGTTCCAGCGAACGAGAACACAGCATGAACACAGAACGAATTTGCAGATTGCTAGCAGTGTGTTTTTAGAGCTAAAACGTGTATGGATTTGTGTAAAATCGTGTAAGAACCTGTGTTGTTGCAAACCACCTGCCAGCCACTATATAGGAGGATTTGTTGTATGAAAATAGTGAATTAATGGACCTGAACGTTGGACATCAATGACCAGTCCGTTGGGCATTGAATCGTCCATGAACTGTCCATTTAACGCTGCATTAAAAGATATAAACGTTGGGCATTTATTGTTGTAACGGTTCAGAAGCCATCAGAAGACCCCTACGTAGTTCTGCCCGAAGGCCATCAGAACTGGAGCAGTTCTGATGCGCGGTCATCAGAACCGGAGCACCTCTGCCCGAAGGCCATCAGAACTGCAGCAGTTCTGATGCGCGGTCATCAGAACCGGAGCAACTCTGTCCGAAGGCCATCAGAACTGGAGCAGTTCTGATGCGCGGTCATCAGAACCGGAGCAACTCTGCCCCCCGAAGGTCATCAGAACTGGAGCACCTCTGATCGTGGCCTTCTGCCCGGAGCAATTCCGTCAACTTGGGAAAAAAATTATACGTTTCGGGAAGAAAACAAAAATTACCCGTATCTCTTGAGAG